ATATTAAATTAAGTAAATATTTATTTGCTTATCTGTGTATGCATGCTAACACACATATATGCAGTTGCTAATATCTAATTATTTGATTTATATCCACATTTATACCTATATATATATATATATATATATATATATATATATATATATATATATTCAGTGCATTTCAAACTTTAGGAAATTTAAACTGACATATATTTTTTCTGTCTGAATTTCTGAGATGATTATCATTATCATGATTTACGTTTATTTATGTTTTGGACTATCGTGTGGGGCAGTGTGTACGTGGACTCAGTGGAAACAGGCGGGCAATAAAATGAGCAGTACTAAAAATAATAACTAGACAATATCCCTAAACATGGGCAGTTGAACAAGAACAGTCTACTTGTGTAGATTAAATAAAGTGTCCAATTCAGAATTCCCTGTAGATGACCCAGATTGATATACACCTGATGAAGCCCAGAGGGAATAACAACTGAAACATTGTAATAAAAACAATAAAGATGAGGACAATATAAATAATGTAAATCATCATCATAATTTGTTGACCACAGATCGTTTCCTTTAGTTGTATAGTATGTGCTATGCCAGGGATATATACAGTTTTGAATTCAGAGTTACTTTCTCCTAGACCGTTTGGCACCCAAGGCTATAGAACCCAGTCGGTTCTGCTATTTACTCATAACTGGGGAGAGAAGAGGATTCATACCTTTCCCAAGCTATTAGTATGTAATTGAATGTAATGGATCTGACTGGAATTCGAACTTGGCTCTCCAATTCCTCAATCCATTATCTATTACTCCACCGTGTAAATAACAAAAATTCTTGCAATTGATTTCAAGAAAGGAATTGGCAAATTGTTTCAAGAACTTGAAGTTGAAAAAATTATAATTCTTTCATGAGTAATGAATGCAGCATTTTATGCCTTCATAAAACAATTTTTATCATAAGAGACAGAGACAAGCTTATTTTCTAGTCTCACTATTTCAGCATACTGATATTATTTAAAAAAGAAACTGATAGCTACCATTTCTTTTTATGACATTCCAGGATTCTTATCAATGTCCCCCTTAATAAATTATGAGGCAGAGTTTCATAAACAGATGTCTTGATCTGTACTTCCTGTTTGCAATAACTAATATGTCAACCATAAATAAGGATAAATATTCACAGACATAATTATTTGCTTGAATTAGTTTAAAATTTCATACAAGAAACAATATTGGTAACTGAGTGATGATTGTAATAAAATGAAAAATTCTTTTAAAAATATGTTTTCTGCTGAGAATCTCAGTGGAGAGATTATATTGAATCAATTGTTAGGTCTGCTGCTAGGAAAGTTGGTTCACTGTGTCATGTGAGACAATTTTTCTCACCAGAATCTATCTTATACATTTATAAGTCTACCATTCTCCTATGCATTGAATATTGCTGCCACATCTGGCCTGGTACTTCTGCTATAAATTCTAGATAAAATCCAAAGAAGCTGCAAGAATCCTGACCTTGCATCTTGGCTTCAGTCAATTTCCCATTATTGTAATGTAGCTTCCCTGTGCCTTTTCTAAAGATATTTTCATGAGTTTTCCATTTTGGTATCTTGACTTTACAAATTTAAGTACAGTACTAGACTAGCAGGTTGATCACATCATTTTACAGTTTAAATTTCCAGATATAACCATAAGTTCTATGCTAAAAGTTTCTTCTCTTGCACTTCTTGCTTCTAGCTTTTGTTTTCCAGTCAACTTTGATCTTTAAAAATTTAAAGGCAATGTCAAGCATTATTTTCTGTCTTCCTTCACACTTAATAACCCCTTTGAATCTTAGTAGCTTTACTGCCTTGTTTGGGGTGAAATGATTAAAAAAATGATCTATATAATGAAATCTAACAATTAAATTAATATTTTTTTTTACATTTGTACAATTAAATTGTGAAGAAGTAATTATATAAAGGTGTTCACTGATATGACTGAAAACTCAAAATTGGAATGTGTGAATTAACATGGATTTTATATTGTCAATTTGAGGACTTACAATTCAATGAAATTACCATATATTTTGAAAGTAGAAAGCATTTGTTTGAAGACAATCTGCTATTGAAGATTTTCATAAGGATTTTAATATATATGCATCTGATTATGAGGTTGGTTAGCTTGTAATATCTTTCGATGGGTTATAAAAAGATGAATTCGGAAAAAAAAATTTTCTTTTGACATTATCCCCATTGTTTTAATCAGATTTGTGTATTAACCAAAATAGTCATAAAAACTTTCTCACACTTCTTTAGCAAATGTCTCTTCACAACTTATGAGATAGTATTTGTAATAACTCACTGTACATAAAAAAATAAATGGAAGATATGATATGCAAATCGATATATCTATCTAATAGAGGGTGATTAATTACAAAACAGAAAAAATCCTACATTACACATTTCACTCCTGGAAGGAACCTCTTCAGACTAATAAGTGTTTGTTACATTCACTTATACACAAATACTCTTGGAAAACGTAGGAATCCATCCCCCCGGCTATGTGTTAAATAGTAGGACATCTATCTGGAAAATCATTGTTATTCTCAGAAAATAAAAATAAAATTAAAAAAATGTTAATGCAATATAATGTCATAGCAGCAGTAATAAAAATTAATCATGCATGAAACTGACTGCTGATTGAAATATGGAACTTAGTTTGAAGTTTGTCAGAGCAAGATGAGTTTGAAGAAGATATGTATGAAGAGGCCAGCTTGCTCAGTAGAAATGAGTTTTCATTAATGCAATCACAAAAGATATGTCAAAAAAGGGATGAATGCATTAACATACAATTTATATTGTCAATTTGGGTATATACAATTCAATGAGGTTGGCATGTCTTGTGAATAAGAAGAAAGTATTGGTTTGAAGAAAATCTGCTATGGAAGATTTTCATAGGCATTTTAATATATATGTATCTGATTATGTGGGTGGTCCCTTCAAGATGGATGTTAAAGTGCTGTGTGTTGATTGGCTCATCATATCTATTTTGATTGGTTAACAAAAGATGAATTCTGAAATTCCAATTTTCTTCTGACATTATCCCCATTTTTTTGTACAGATTTCTGTTTCATGTAAAAAGAACATAAAACAGTTTTTCACACTTCTCAAGATTTTTAGCAATGTCTCCTTACAAATTATGAGATAATATTCCATAAACAAATGACATGGTTTGCACTTTTTGAAATAATTAACATGTCAGCTATATATAAGTATGCCGCTAAACATGTATATTTATATCCTTATTTGCTCAAATGAGCTTAACTAGCAATGATACCTGGCATTGCACAGGCCTGTTGTCCTTCCTCTGCTCTAGTGTATTATTTATTCATTCATGTGCTATGTCCCTTCAGGACTTTGAGTGATCACGGCTCTCCACAACATCCTATCACTTGTAGCTCTAAGCAGTTTGACTCTTAATCATCCTTTCTCATTCCTACTCTGCCAACCATTCACATAAACACTTAATAAGTAGATTAATCACATAAATTATTAGATTAATCACATAAACTACTTAATAAGTAGATTACTCCCTGTTTCCCGCTGCTCTCTTTCCTTCAATATGTCCAGTGAGTATTAAATTTTCCAGGACTTCTTTCCTTATAATTTATCCAAGAAATGCCAACTGTCTCTTTCTTATTTTAAGTATAAATATTTTTCTAGTTAACATTTTTGTCAGAACAGCTGTGTCACTCATGTTTTCAGTCCATTGATGCTCAACATCTATTTGTAGAATCACATCTGTTGCATCTTTCTATTTCATCTGTATGCAAATTCCCCAACTCTCACTGCCATACAGGAGGATAAATATGAACCAGCAGCTTAGCACTCTAGTTTTTGTTTCTAACAAAATATTCCCATGTTTTAATAACTTTTTGCCATAAAATAATATTAATAAAATTAACATAATTAAAGCAGATCTAAATACTTAAATATTTTGGTATTTGTTTATTTCATAAAGAGTATTTTCTTAATATTATATTTTATAAAATTTGTTAAATTTTAAAAATACATAATTAAAAAAATGTCAACATTTACTTACTTCTCTTTCCAAATTGTTTTCTTCACTTTACTTCCAATCTATGCTCAAAATGCAAAGGTAGTTACCACTTTCATAACAGAAAATGGCTTTACTAAAACAACTAAGCAAATTAATTATCAAATCCATCAATAAATCAATGACTTATTTATTAATGTAACAAAAAACTGGAAAGGGATAATTAAACTCAGTTATTTTTTTAATTGATTTTTAAGGCTTAATGTAAAAATTAGTTATCGCCATTAAGCAAGTTGGGCAAGATATAAGACACATGTTGGTAATTAAAAATAATAAAACAGTATTTATTTGATGTGATAGTTTCATGTAATATGTGTGAGTCCCTTTTCAAACTCAGCTATGTATATTTAAGTGGGCGCAAAAATAAACACTATGATAAAAACAATTTCATATATTTTATATAATATTTGCACATATAACCTACTTAAATTTAATTGATTTCTAGTGATTTGAACAGGCACACACACATACAAACTTTGATCTTTACAAATCAGATGAGTAGTTTAAAATGTTAGACTAGAGATGACATTTATAATACAATGGGGATGATCATAATTAAAAAGAAAATAAATTTTTAAAGAAAAAACATTAAAAAAAATAAAGACTAATGAGAAAAAAATCTGCTGACAAACAAAGAGAAACTGTTTACTGGAGTAAGAAGTGCAATACATTTATGTATATTTAGTCAATATTCAGACAACAACCATAAAAAAAATTCTCCTCCTAGAAGAAATATTTCCTTAACAAGACAGAATGTTATTGCAATATCCTGAACACATCATAACAGAGTTTAAAATACAGAAATATCTCTTACTGCATCAGAAGCAAGTGGAATACTTTGCTATTTTTTCTCACTCATTTTTTTAGAACACATCTAGCAAAAGACATGCAGGAATAACAATATATTAAACAAAACATTCAAAAGAAAAGAAGGGAAAAAGAAAAATATGAGAGAAAAGAAAAAGAAAAGAGAGAAAAAGGGCAAGAAATGAAAATGGAAAAGAAAATGCTAAAAAGAAAAAAGGGGAAGAAAAAAGCTAAAAAGAGGAAAAAGAATAAAAAAAGGCTAAACTATTAAAGAAAGAAAAATAAGGGAAAAGGAAAAAATGAAAAAGGAAGGAAAGAAAAAATAGGGGAAAGGAAAAAAAACAAAAGAGGGAAAGAAAGAAATATAAGGGGAAAGGAAAAAAAACAAAAGAAAGAAATATAAGGGGAAAGGAAAAAACAAAAGAGGGAAAGAAAGAAATATAAGGGGAAAGGAAAAACAAAAGAGGGAAAGAAAGAAATATAAGGGGAAAGGAAAAAAACAAAAGAGGGAAAGAAAGAAATATAAGGGGAAAGGAAAGAAAACAAAAGAGAGAAAGAAATATAAGGGGAAAGGAAAAAAAACAAAAGAGAGAAAGAAATATAAGGGGAAAGGAAAAAACAAAAGAGGGAAAGAAAGAAATATAAGGGGAAAGGAAAAACAAAAGAGGGAAAGAAAGAAATATAAGGGGAAAGGAAAGAAAACAAAAGAGGGAAAGAAAGAAATATAAGGGGAAAGGAAAAAACAAAAGAGGGAAAGAAAGAAATATAAGGGGAAAGGAAAAAAAACAAAAGAGGGAAAGAAAGAAATATAAGGGGAAAGGAAAAAAACAAAAGAGGGAAAGAAAGAAATATAAGGGGAAAGGAAAAAACAAAAGAGGGAAAGAAAGAAATATAAGGGGAAAGGAAAAAAAAAAAAAGAGGGAAAGAAAGAAATATAAGGGAAAAAAAAAAAACAAAAGAGGGAAAGAAAGAAATATAAGGGGAAAGGAAAAACAAAAGAGGGAAAGAAAGAAATATAATGGGAAAGGAAAAACAAAAGAGGGAAAGAAAGAAATATAATGGGAAAGGAAAAAAAACAAAAGAGGGAAAGAAAGGAAAAAGTGAAAAAAAAAGAAAGTTAAGAAAACAGGGGAAAAGAAAAAAGCAAAAAAAAAAGAGAGAGAAAAAGGACAAAGAGAAAAGGGAAATGAAAGAAAGAAAACAAAAAATGAACTAAAAGAAAAAAAAATCAAACAGAGAAAGAAAGAAAAAGAAAAAAAGAAAGGAAAAATTAATAAAGGGAAAGAAAAAAAAGTAAAAAATGTAAAAGCAAAAAACCAAAAAATGGAATGAAAAGAAAATACAAAAAGGGAAAGAAAACAGACAAGTCATCTGTGGAATGTATTCAATATCAGAATGGAACATATGGTTTACTTATTGTACAATCAGATTTATTTTCCTTCTGACACTTTCAATTTTTGGGTGGTTCCAAATCCAAGCTACATCTACATGATTCATAAACTATTTCTATTTTAGATTTCCTTTCCAGAAGATTCCTATTAAGCACAGGTTCAGTTCAGATGAACAACTCGAATATAATGAGTTTAAATATCAATTTCATTTCAGTAACATTTTTCCATTTTATTTCCAACAATTCCAAGTTTAGGTCACCAGGTACATTGTGGTTTATTAGAAAAAATAAATACAAGCAAGTATTGAAAAGTTATCAAGACAACCAATAAGCCCTACCAAAAAATGTGATGTTTTGTTATATGATCAGATTTTGAGAAGTGGGTTGGGCTGAAAACTTTTCAGCACCTCCTCATATGTCAACTTAACCTTTAGATGGCAGATCAATCTCTGATCCTGTAAAGAAAAACAACGGGATTAAAAAGATACCAACCCATAATCCTAATCTATATATTAACCCATTCATGACAACTATAAAATCAGATAATAATTATAATAATTCTGGCATTAATTATAGGCTTCTATCTTTATGTCAGGTCACTCTACAAGTACTATTGATTGTTTGTAACCAAATACTACTTGCTGTATGGTAAGACCATCAACAACCAAACTTGTCTCCAACCAGGCATTTCTAGTGCGAAGGGAACTCGATTAAAAACAAGAGATGTCAAAGGGAGGATGAAGCTTCTTTTAGGGTCAACAACCATCTAACACAATGGGGTAGGCTGGGCTCCATAGCTATGCATGCAGCCAGTGAAATGATGATATGGCATTGGTAGGAGGAGAGCTTCTTAGACTGAAGTTAATTACCAGGGCAAAGGGTTACACTGATGAAATCAATGGCCATGTGTCTTAGACTATGGTGAGTCTTCATGTTGGAAGACATCAGATGTGGAGAGGGATAGGGCCTGTCACGTCTACTTGCTCTAGAAATGCTATGTGTAGTGGAAACAAAAAGCAGACAAAGCAGCCAATCACTACTGATAGCAGTACCTGCCCCATCAGTCAAAGAGACAATGTTTAGTGTGCTCTCTCTGCAGAAAGACAGCACTGGGCTGCCCTGCCAGAACAAGAATTGTGCAAACCCCAGGATGTCTGGTTATGAAGAAAGAAATTATCTACCAGCTTCCACTGTTTTCAGAACAATAAGCTGAACAGTATTAGCTATGCAAATGATTCCTTTGCTAGCCAACCAATAAAGTTTTAGCCTCCATAAAAGCAGGCACATTTTCTGGGATGGGGCAGAATTTGGTAGTATGTCATGTTGACCACACACTGGAATTGCTATGCATTAACAAGGATTTTTTGTTATCCAGTGTTGTTCAAAATTTGTTTGTCCTTGTTTAAGTTTCTGGTGTCTCAGCTGCATTTGTGTGATGTTCCCATGTGGAACTCTTATCTGCACCCTGATTGTTGTGATCCAGTGTTTGATTCCAGTTCTGCTGAGTTTTTCATCCTTCTTCATTGGCAGATACTCAAACAATAAGAAGAAAATCCCTTCACTGTGCATGAATAAATACTTCTGACTTTCAATGTGGAGAGAACTAGTCAAATTCTCAGCTGTACACTGACTAAATCTGGTCATGTAACTAACAATGATGCTGACCTGTAATGCATTTACAAGTACCATCCCATTTTTGGAACTGTGGACATTAGTGAGTTAATACTATAGTATCTATCTTATAGGATGTACAGGTGGCAAATTAGCTTAAGAATTGGAATCAGCAAACTCTATTTAAGTCTGTTGCATCCACTTAGTACAAATGTAGTTGGGAAAAGGTATGAATTCATCTCTTCTCTTCACTCTATGGTTTAAATAATAGACTCTCTAGCTGTGGATAGTAGCCGGTCTCAGAGGAGAAGGAAGAATCTGAATTCTGGCCAATCTTGATAATGGAGTAGCAACCCTTCAAATACCAGACTATTACTTCTCATGATAAACATCTTCATTGTTAGAAGTGCCAACAGCTCTTTTCATAAAAGGGCTATAATATGTAGGGGTTTTTATTTTTATCTACTCCCTACTTTAGGCGAACTTGGGTCACAAAGAAAAATGTATATGAATTCCCTGTAAAGGTTCCTATATTTTTCTTTCATAACAAATTTTATTTATTTGTGTAGAATAAGAACCTATTACGAACTAAGAGGGAATTGAAAGTAAATTGGCCATAACATTGTATTTTTTTTATTTTAACTCTTTACAGGTTGGCAATGGAATTGTTAATTTGAAAGAATATCTAATTGGTTACCCTACTTAAGGACTTCTCAAAGGTTTTCTTCTAGCCTACCAGCAGTGTGAACCCACGGATTGTGAAGAATATAGTGTAATATATATATATATATATATATATATATATATATAGATAGATAGATATAGATATAGATATAGATATAGATATATATTTTTAAGTAACGAAAAACTTGGTAATCCATATGGATAATCCCAAGGAGGATGAAATCCTGAGAGCTCAATGTTAATTCAGAGCAAATAATTTAATTTAAAGAAAAACATACCACTTTAAGGCTCCATTGTAATAATTTATTTCACCAGAGACTTTTATTTTTCCCTGGATCTTCAGACATCACTTTCAAAAAGAAAAAATGAAATTAAAATTTACACTTTTGATGGGCAGTATTAAGCTTATATAAGTTGACATAGAAGGTAGCGAGGGATAGTGTGAGAGACATGGTTGAGTTTAGAGAGGGAAGGGAGAGTTTTTTATATTTCTTTTTATTATAATACTCAATATGAGGAAGCTGGGGGTAAGGATTAGACATTGACCCATTTAATTGGTCAACTCAACAGAAATAATATGAGGAAAGGAAAAGAAGAAAAAAAGGGAAAAAGAAAAAAGGGGGAAGTAAAGAGAAAAGAGATGTACTTAAGGTTTTCGGAGGAAGAAGAGTGGTGGTATAGCTTTAGAAATTTAGATAAAAATAGATTTTAACATTTGATAGTAATTTAAATGTTTAAAAAAACTCCACATAGAAATTAATTTAATGCTTGTTAGCAATTTAAATATATATATATATTACAATGAATCATTCACACAAAAAGTAAATTAGTAAAGTTAATGAGATAAAATGACAAATTCACTTTGCTAACTAAATTTTAAAAATGCATTAACCCACTAACCACACAATGAATGTTATGATCCTTGTTTTTTAAAATTATAAACTGTATTAGGTTTTCCTTAAATATGCAAGTACTTTTGATGGCTCCTCAGGTCATCATCAGGCATGGAAACTGTTTTCTTTTTGGTAAAAAAACATTGCTCTACTTATTGAACTATTTAGTTCATGCTACGTTGACTGATAAACTCCTCCAACAAAAAAATTCTTAAATTGCCATATTAGTAAAAAATGCTCTCACTTATATTTTCAAAAATTCAAGCTTGAAATGTGAATGAACAGAATCTGATTCCAATGTTTATAACATTCAATTTAAAAGAAGGCTCAATACAAAAGTAGAGCAATATTCTTTATTTTAGGACATCAAAAACATGTAAAAAAACGTTACACAAATGCAGTCATGTTTTGATGTGTATTAATACATCTCATCAGGTGTTAGTAAATAAATGTTGTAGAGACAATTTATTGTGATTTAAAAACAACATACAACCTCTTTTCATGAGAAAAGGAAGAAAAGAAAAAGAGTAAGAAAGACAGACATAAGATATACTCTTTTCCTGAGAAAAGGAAGAATAAGAAAAAAGAGTAAGAAAGAAAAGGGAGAAGAAAGCAACAGGATTTGTTTTAATTCATATCAACCAATGACCAATGGAATGGCCTATGTTAAATTCAAAGTAAGGGGAAAAATGAAACTTAAGAAGCAATCATACATATGAGATCATGAATCGTAGACAACATGCAGACGTCATATTCAATACAGATGTAAAATAGGTACAATTTTATACATTAGATAAAAACAAACAATAAAAAAGTATATATATATATATATATATATATATATATATATATATGCTTTTATTTTTTATTTTATTTATATATATATATATATATATATATATATATATATATATATATATATATACCAGGTGTAACAGCAAAACTGTCCAAATTCATATAACAGCAAAATTGTTCAATTATTAGATTGAGCTTTGAACTATTGTATCTTAGAAATGATTAAAGATATCTTACTGGAATTCTCCAAAGCTTTTATAACACTATTGGACTCTATTTTGAACAATAAGAATGTATTTAACTCTAAGTTGAAATGATGGTCCCTTGTTGTTGTGACCTCCTAATCCAGTTCCTTCTTTTTTAAACTGATTCACCATTCTCTTGGTGGTTCTTGAATGGACTTTGAAGATGGAAGCCAGAGTATAAATGTTGGTACCATTACTGAAGGCCTGAATGATCTTTATCCTCTCACCATGGCTCAGTTAGGAATACATAGTAGGGCTGACAAAAAATGATTTTAACCTGTTATCTTTCTAGCTGAATAACTCAAAGAGTTTTTCAGTGATTCTTACAACAAATGGTGTCAAGATGGCTAAATGTCTTTTCTGAAAACCTGGAAAAAAGAAACTCAATTAGTTTAGTGCATTTTTAGATATTAAATATTTTGTGGGATGGATAATTATTTCATTCTGTTACACGATTTGGATAATTTTGCTGTTACACCCGGTATATAAGACATGGTATTTGTTTGTAATTTATTTTGAATGAGATGTGTGAGTTTGGTTGCTTCCAAAAAACAAATTCAGTTTTCAGCACAGTTTCAGAATGACACACTTACATAATATTTTCAATTGAAGAACTTGAATAAAATTCGTTTTTGGTTATATATTGCTGAAGAACTTTTGTTCACACAAGGATAAAAAGGAAGTCAAGCTCCAATCACAACTAGAAATATTTTTATTTTATGGAATAATCCTTTTGATACCTGCAGTGAATAGTTTGTTCACAACCATAAGTGAATAGGAAGGAAGTTAAGAGCAGGTCGATATACGTACAAAATGATATGTTTTATTTTATTGAATGATCCTTCTGATTTCAGCAGTGAATGTTTTGTTCATAAATGTAAGTGGATAGAAAAGAAGTCAAACATGGGTCAACAAACAAACTCAAAATTTTTCATTTTATTGAATGTACCTGCAATGAATAGTTTGTTCAAAAGCCAAAGTTGATAGGCAGGACATCAAACACAGATTGACATACAAACGAGAAACTTTGTATTTATGGAATAAGTCATTTAATTCTTGTTCTGTTACAAACTGAATGTCTGGTTTAGAAGATACATTATTTGCATTTAGTTATTTGTAAGTATAACAAAACTTAATGTACCCTATAATTTTCATAATATACAAATATATAGTCCCTCTATAATATACAATTTCACTGTCTGCTTAGATTTTGGAAATCATCTTTTGCTATCCCCAATGCACCCTCAGATTTCAATGTCACATTTCCCATCCTTTGTTACAATGCTTAAAATCTGTGAAAAAAAATGAAATTACTGTTATAAAATAAAATAAGACATATCTCAGCTGATTTACAGGCAAATACTCAAGAGCGAGAACCGGATGTAAACGGGACAAAGCCCCGTCACAAAATGACCATTATCTTTCTTTACAAATGTTCCTATTAACACGTGTTCCAGTCGAAAAATAAAATAATATTTAAAGTGCTCTATTTTTCGTCCAATAAAAATGCTTCCCTCCTAATTATACTCGCTTTGTTTTTCAAGCCTGTTAAGCCATAAAAAAAACGCTATAAAAGGGGTCACACGGAAGTTCAACAGTCAGTCCACAGGTGGCCGCAAAACAGACCTGTCACGGTCAGGCTGAGCGATCAGCAGCAGGAGAGCATCAACCACCGTCAACATGTGTGAACTACTATGAGAGATCGACCTAGATCCGAAAGCCGGCTTATGAACTTTACCACAAGGTAGCTGTCCCAAACCCACACGTTCCTGTTGAAATAAACCACGTAAATCTATTTCTACTGTTGTCGTATTTCTTTCTTGCAACCATACACTTGTCTATAACATTACTTTTTGTATTGATCACTGGATAATAGATATCTTTCAACAATGTGGGTAACTAATCACATATTTATATTTATATATTTATTTATATTTTTCATCTGCCAGGTAATGACTGTTATTGGTTATCAAAATTTTTATCACGAGACACAGTCTCATCATTTCAGTGCAGGTTGTGCATTACAATATAAATTTAAATTAGATTTAATTTATATGTACATTTTAATCAGCATTTTCCTTACATTTGTATAATTTTCAAATTATTCATTCCTTCCTGTCGTCATTGAAGATTTTAGTCGAGAGAATGACAAGAAGTAAATCAATGATTAAACTAATTTTATTTTCTTGACTCAGAAAATATAATTTCTGCATTATGGATTGCATTTATTTTTTTTTTGTTGTTGTTGTTTCTTTTTGATTGTATGCACATTTTGCATTTTAGTTGTGAATACATTTGATTGCAAAGTACATCTGAAATATTTCTTTGTTTTCGCAATGATCAAATGAAGTATTTATTGAAATGAGTTTGTGTGGGAATTTTTAAAATTTTTTTAACTTTTCATATATATTTTTGCTTTTTCTGAATTTACATTTTTTTTCTGTTTTAATTTTTTAACAGAACACCATTCAAGCAGGAACAATATGACTTGATTACATTTGGAAGAAGAAAATAAAAATATGAAAAAAAGAAACATAAAATAAAAGTAATTTGCAAATTTTTCAATAAGTTGATTGATGATACAAAATTTCCATGTGTGTTCTCAAACTGATTCAACTGAAATAATTTTGTACACTTTATATATTTACTGGACTCCAAGCTATTGGTATAATATGAAATAGGAAAAATTCAATTAATAGAATTCAAGAAGTAGCTTCATTAGTATCAAGTAACAATTGATGGAGTTTCACTCAACTCTGAATCTGATCAGAAACTGAAGAAATAAGGATCAGATTTGTGTGGCTTTTGA